TAAGGGCTAAAGCTTCAGCTCCGCCCACGAGGGGGCTCAGCAAGCAGGACGGAGAATTAAATAAAAGTAAAAGTTAGTGCAAATATGTTAGTCTCGCAAGCCAGATGCTGGTGTGTTTCAACTCTCAGCATGGCCAAGAACTTTGACAGGAAGGGGCTGTTTGACTGACATGGCCATGGGAAGTGAAGCGCTTCTTTAACAACTTTTAAACTTGAATAAAGTTTTCAGCGTAGTGACTGTCTCTTTAAAAGGCTCGGTCAATGTGTGTAGAGCTGCTAACTGCTTGCAAAAGTATCAGATAAAACCAGCTGCATGGGAGGAGGTTCGCATGGATGTGCAGATGCAAATGCAACATGAACGCTTTAATGTCACAACACTTTCATGCAAATATAGGATAATACTGTATGTTGCAGTATTATTTGAAGATAGTGATGGGGAGCTGATTTCAAAAGAGTTCATTCTTTGACTCTTTGACTCCACCTTATTTCAGACGTAATGTTGTGATAGGATCAAGTAAAACTATTTCCTGAGCTTATTATTTATCAGTCCTGCTGAAAAGCCAATAGAAACCAAGTGTTTCTGTTGGTTCATGATGGTTTTATAATGTGTTTTGGCTTGATATCACAGTATAAAGGGTCCTAATGGCTTCACCGGTGACCAGTGGCTGATTCTAAATGCATTTGACGGCCTCCCAATGGATCTAAAGGTGTTCTACAAGAAACTAGTGGTCTCTATTGAAAAGCCAATTTCCATTAGGTTCCATTAACATGTTAACCTGCTAGCCTAATCGAGTCCTTCTATCTGTTCCATACCAATGCTGCTCACCAGCTGGAGGAAAGCATCTGAATACACTGAAGTAAATATCTTGTAGATGTTCTGTTGATACATTACTTACACTAAGTAGATGTACTGTTAATATGTTACTTCTATTATGCAAAACCTAACTTTACCCAGCCTTACCCAAAACCTAGCCTTACCCAACCTTACCTAAAACCTAGCCTTACCCAACCTTACCCAAAACCTAGCCTTACCCAACCTTACCCAAAACCTAGCCTTACCCAACCTTACCCAAAACCTAGCTTAACCCAACCTTACCCAAAACCTAGCCTTACCCAACCTTACCCAAAACCTAGCTTAACCCAACCTTACCCAAAACCTAGCCTTACCCAATCTTACCCAAAACCTAGCCTTACCCAACCTTACCTAAAACCTACAACCTTACCCAAAACCTTACCCAACCTTACCCAAAACCTAGCTTAACCCAACCTTACCCAAAACCTAGCCTTACCCAATCTTACCCAAAACCTAGCCTTACCCAACCTTACCCAAAACCTAGCCTTACCCAACCTTACCCAAAACCTAGCCTTACCCAATCTTACCCAAAACCTAGCCTTACCCAACCTTACCCAAAACCTAGCCTTACCCAACCTTACCCAAAACCTAGCCTTACCCAACCTTACCCAAAACCTAGCCTTACCCAACCTTACCCAAAACCTAGCCTTACCCAACCTTACCCAAAACCTAGCCTTACCCAACCTTACCCAAAACCTAGCCTTACCCAACCTTACCCAAAACCTAGCTTAACCCAACCTTACCCAAAACCTAACCTTACCCAATCTTACCAAAACCTAACCGTACCCAACCTTACCCTAAATCCTAAACTTACCCAACCTTACCCAAAACCTAACCTTTCCCAATCTTACCAAAACCTAACCTTACCCAACCTTACCTAAATCCTAAACTTACCCAACCTTACCCAAAACCTAACCTTACCCAATCTTACCAAAACCTAACCTTACCTAACCTTACCCAAAACCTAACCTTACCCAATCTTACTAAAACCTATCCTAACCCAACTTTACCTAAATCCTAAACTTACCCAACCTTACCCAAAACCTAACCTTTCCCAATCTTACCAAAACCTAACCTTACCCAACCTTACCAAAACCTAACCTTAACCAATCTTACCAAAACCTAACCTTACCCAACCTTACCTAAATCCTAACCTTTCCCAATCTTACCCAAAAACCTAACCTTAACCAATCTTACCAAAACCTAACCTTACCCAACCTTACCAAAACCTAACCTTAACCAATCTTACCAAAACCTAACCTTACCCAACCTTACCTAAATCCTAACCTTTCCCAATCTTACCCAAAACCTAATCTTACCCAATCTTACCAAAACCTAACCTTACCCAACCTTACCCAAAACCTAACCTTTCCCAATCTTACCAAAACCTATCCTTACCCAATCTTACCCAAAACCTAACCTTTCCCAATCTTACCAAAACCTATCCTTACCCAATCTTACCAAAACCTAACCTTACCCAACCTTACCTAAATCCTAACCTTACCCAACCTTACCCAAAACCTAACCTTTCCCAATCTTACCAAAACCTATCCTTACCCAATCTTACCAAAACGTAAACTTACCCAATCTTACCAAAACCTAACCTTACCCAAAACCTAACTTACTTAACCTTCCCTGAAACCTAACCTCACCCAAAACCTAACCCTAACCCTGGCCCTAATCCTAACCATAACCTTAACTTCAGCCCTAAACCTAATCCTAACCCTCATGTTTTTAACATGTTACTGAGAGTCTGTTGAGTGTTTGTTTTATTTAAAAAGGATCACTCAAAATAAAGAGTCAACGAATCCTGTGGCAAGATTCAAGTATCGACCCCAGAAAACTGGGAGACATGCACATCAATTTGAAGAAGGTTTGAAGTCAGGACACAAGTGGACGCCACCCAACCCTAATCTGGGGCACCCCAACTTTTGCATTTAAGTGTATATACCAGTAGAATAAGCCCAGGGCCCTAAATACAGCTGTTTGTGTGTGTGTGTGTGTGTGTGTGTGTGTGTGTGTGTGTGTGTGTGTGTGTGTGTGTGTTTTATTTCTTGGCGGCGGAGCAGGGCTCACACGCCTTGATTTTGTTCAGTATTGAACGTTAGCACCCTGCAGACTCTTAATTGCATTACTGTATATCAATAGTTCAGCAGAGTTCTTTTGTAACGGGGGCTCTGCTCCACACTGCCAGCGCAGAATTGAAAAAAGTCTGCCAGGATTTGGCAGCCTGGCTCTGTGAGGAGCTCAGCATTTGCCAGTGAGGTAGTTTCTGCACTTCTCTCTGAATCAGCAGATGAGTTGACTACACTGTGTATGTGTGTGATAGTAAATTCAGCATAGACCCATCTGATTAACTGTTTCTCTCTCTCCATCTGGAGGGGGGGATCATTGCTCAAGTATCAATTCGCCTGGTCCTAATGCTTCTTTCCTTTTCAGAATCCTTCCAAAAATATTAAGACTGAATATTTAACATTAATTATCATAACTATTTTGGTACATAATGAAAGGGCTTATTGTTGGTTCTGAGCTTGCTGTCTTGAGACCCCTACCATACTCCTATTAAAGCAATAAAGCATGAGAGGCCATGCATTGCAGTGATTTTACAGCAATACTTATGTAAGTGTGAAAAAATGATTGCAGCAAATAATTTTGTAATGCATATGTATTATGAATAGGGCTGTTGAAGATGAATCATGATTAATCGCACTGATTTTGTGTAGTTAATTGTGATTAATTGCATTTGTCAAATTTAGAGGAAGATAAAGAGTGTTTTAAATTTAAAAAGCAATACATCAGGATGTTTTTTTTTAGGAGTTTTCCATTTAAAAACTAGTGCATCAGAATGTATTTATTACTTTAATTGATTCAATAACATTATTATCATCTTGGGAATGCTGCAATTAATCATTATTTTGTGTATTTAATCACAATTAATTGCATTTGTCTTATTTGCTCTTTAGAGAAAGATAAAGATATTTCTATTCAAAAAGAATGCACCAGAATGTATTTATTACTTTCAATGATTCAATAACATTTTCATTGTGGGAAAAGGTTCATGTGAACTTCATCACGCTTGTAAATGATACTTCAGACTCGATGTACTTCAGTGATAAACAAATTCACAGCATGGCAGTAGCTGGAAATAACCGGTTTTAAAAAGAGCATCATTAATGGAATCTGCAATTTAAAAGCTGTATTTGAACGAGATCACAGTCAAATAGTCACTGCAGCTGACCTGCATTACTAATCTGTTATGAATGCTGTAACTTTGACACCACTCATTTTTACTAATAATAACAATTAATATATTGTCACTGTTGGAACAAAACCACGTCTCTCCAAAATGGTAACACTACAGGAGAAGGAAATAAACATTCTTAACTTTTTCCTAAAGTAATTTATGGCCATTTTTGATATTTCATTCATCATAAAATTTTACCCCAATGCAAAGGGTAACTAGAGTTTTCAAATAATGCAACAAAGTAAAAAAACAATGAAAATGGAAGGTTTTGACTGTGATTTTTTGTATTATGTTTAAAACTTTATATAAGTAGTAAAAACATCTTTATTTTCTTTTTAATATATGTCACATTATGATCTGTTAAACCCAAGGCTTTAACAGAGATAGTAATAAGCTAAATATATACAAAACTCTAATTTATTGGGTACTTTCTGTTGGGAGGTGGTAGGCAGAGCCTTATTTTAGCCACATCCCTGCATTTTAGAGCAGGAAGTGAGGCTGCATCCCTGACTGTCATGGCCACATGGTGAGCTGTTAGATCCAATTGTTTTGAAGTACATGTAACCCAAAGTCTGAAAATCAGTGTGGAACATCAAAAATTGTCATTACTGAAACACATTTTCAGCAATTAAGTAAACTTTTTCGTGTTTTAATGAAAAATGTTATCTTTTTTATGTGTGTACTGCTGTTCAAAGCTGTGTTTGCTAGTCATGTACTGGCTAGCATTTTTGAGTTCTGCTCAAAATGAGCTACAATTGTCAATACTGAAACAGTCACTACTGAAACATTTGGCAAGGTTGGTTGATTTTAGTATCGGGGCACTAGTATTGGATAGTATAACTTTGTATACTTTGTAAACAAAGCAAAGAAACCCACCCCTACTCTCTCTTTTGTCTCTTTTCAGTCTGCGGAGGGAAGGCTACACCCTGCAGGTGAACGTGAACGATTACCTGGACATCTACTGTCCACACTACAACAGCAGCCAGAGGGGCGTGGCTGAGCAGTATGTCCTCTACATGGTCAGTTATCGCGGCTACCGCACATGCGACCCGCAGCTGGGCTTCAAGCGCTGGGAGTGCAACCGGCCCCACGCCCCTCATGCACCAATCAAGTTCTCTGAGAAGTTCCAGCGCTACAGCGCCTTCTCACTGGGCTACGAGTTCCACGTGGGACACGAGTACTACTACATCTGTAAGTGTGGACACAATATAACACAACAATTCAATACTATAGGGGTGGGTTATATGGCCTAAGATGTCATATCATAATAAATTCTATGATTTCGTATCATGTACAGTCATGTCCATTAATATTTGGACAAGTTGTTATTTTAGCTGTCTATGACAGGATATTGGAGTTCAAATTAAAAAATAAATATGAGCTCAAAGTCCAGAATTTCCACTTTAATTTGAGGTTATTTACATACATTTTCATACATTGCCCCCACATTTATAGAGTCTCTAACTAATAGGACAAACTATCAATCATACATTTTATTGATATTTTTGATTCTTTTGAATCCTTTGCGGTCAGTGAGTGCTTAAAACCCATGAACGTCACCACTTCCCTGGTGATGCTCTGCCAGGCCTTTACTGTAGCTGTTGTCAGTTCCTACTTGTACTTGGGGCATTTACATTCAGTTTTCCTCCAGTAGGTCAAATGCATGCTCGATTGGTTTAAGGTAAGATGACTGACTTTGGGTCTTTGTCCATCTGCACTGTAAAGCACCGTCCAATGAGGTTTGAAGCATTTGGGTGAATCTGAGAAGACAATATAGCCCTATACACTTCAAAATTCATCAGCAGTCATGCCATCAGAAAACAAAGTAGCACTGGCAGTTCCAAAGCCCACACCAACACTACCTCCACCATGCTTCACAGATGAGATGGTATGCTTTAGATCATGAGCAGTTCTTTCCCTTCTTCATATTCTTCCCATTATTTTGGCACAGGTTGATCTTTGTCTCAGTTATCCATAAGATGTTGTTCTAGAACTGTACAGCCTTTTTTAAAGATGTTTTGACCTTCTGGTCTTCCTGTTTTTGATGCTTGCCAATGGTTCACATCCGCTGTATTTACTCTGGTGAAGTCTTCTCTGAATTGTTGACTTTGACACAGATACGCCACCTTCCTGGTGGGTGTTCTTGATCTGGCCAACTGTTCTGAAAGGGTTTTTCCACCACTAAAAGAATTCTTCTTCAGGGCCTTCTGGTGTTTCTAAGCTCACTAGAGTGTCCTTTCTTTTAAAGTATATAACAAATAGTTGATTTGGCCACACCTAATGTTTTTGCTATTTCTCTGATGGCTTTGTTTTCACTTCATATTAAGCTTAAAATCTACACTTTTAAAAACTAAACTCTAGACTTCTTCCCTAATAATAGGGATTAATAGGGAATAATGTATAAAATGGGTTGTAATTCCTACCTGAATTAGCTTCAAATACCTTAAATGTAAATAAAAGTCTGCAGTGAGGTCATTCATTATTTAACTTCAACATGCTGTAGTAGGCAGCTGAAATAAAAGTAACTTTGTCAACGCCCAAATACTTATGGACCTGACTGAACCTATAAGGCAGGTGAAGCTCATAAAGTGGCCATGGATGGTGAGTGTGGGGAAGTAATATCAGATAGCCTGGAGACAAAATGACCATTGCAGTCTCAGATTCATCTGTCATGAGTCTTGCTCTGGACCTCCAGCAATGAGAAAATGACTTAGAGACAGTTCTGTAATTCTAATGTCTGTCCATTGGCATCAGATCACTGCAGTTAGAGGCGGGAGAAAATTTTAAATATCTGCTCGTTCTCCTCAGAGTAAGCCGAGTTCAGGATCAATCAACCACTAACAATCTTACATGCAACGTGCATAGCAATCTACTCAACAATAAGACATGATTGCATTACCTTTCTTTCATTCCTTACAGCCATTATGTTTGTCAATGTATTGTGATTATAACTGCTGCTTTTTGTGATGTGTCAATAACTGATTGGTCCTCCTCTGTTTTAGCCACGCCCACTCATCACCATGGCCGCAGCTGCCTGAGACTGAGAGTGTACGTCTGCTGCTCACCAGGTACCGTTCCACACAAATGTCTGTCATTTTTTCTTCAATCCATCCATCCATCCATCCTCCCAGCTGTCAGTTCTTCTTTCCACCAGTTTGTCAAACCATGTTTCCATCTATTTTCCTTTCATCCATGCATCCCTCCATTTATCAACCCATTTTTCCTGCTATGCAATGACCCACCCATTTATCCAATCATGCCTCATCAAACCATCCATCCATCTTTGCTTCTATCCAACCAGCCGTCCATTTCTTTGTTAATTTGTCCATTCTTCCCTTCATCATCTCTCCTTGCATCCTTATTTCTATCCAACCTTTCATAAAACCATCCAAGCATCTGACCGTCACACCTATATATGCTTGTTGGACATCCCATTCCAAAAACATTGGCATCAACATATAGTTGAATCTATATATCCAGTATTATAGGAAGGCTTTTCGCAAGATTGTGGAGTTTCTGGGAATTTGTGCCCAAAAGTTCCTATGTGAGATCAAGCATTGATGTTGGACAAAAAGGCCTGGCTCACAATCGATGTTGCAATTCATCCCAAAAGTGTTTTAATAGGGTTAAGGTCAGGGCCCCTGTTGAACTATACATTCCGGTAGGTAGTGTTCTCCTGGCGTCCAACAAACCTAGATTTGTCTATCAGACTGCCAGATAGTGAAGCGATTTATCACCACGGAGACCATTTTGCACTACTCCAGACTCCAGTAGCAGCGTGCTTTACACCCCTCCAGCCGACACTTGGCATTGCACATAGTGATCTTCGGCTTTCATGCAGCTGCTTAGCCATGAAAACCTGTTTCATGAAGCTCCCAATGCACAGTTCTTCCAGAGGCAGTTTGGAACTCTCTAGTGAGAAGATTTCCATGCGCTAAATTGTTATTTTGTTAATTGTTCACTAAATAGGCTGTGTTTCCTTCCTTTCACTTGAAAAATCAACAAAACATACATATATAGGTATATTGAGAGGGAGGGAGTTTGATAAGATGGTCTGGTCTGGTCCTGCAGCATTGAACTGGCAATAATATGGTGCACTATTTTTACATAACACACACACAGACTGGCCACACAGACAGCTCACTTTTCTCTCTCTCTGCCTGCGTCAGTGTTGGTTGGTTGTGGCGTGTGCAGCCAGTAGACTGCTGTGGACTTCTTGCGATAACTTTCTCCCCACTGTCACATTTCATTTTACACACTGATTACAGAAGCAGCTACTCCTGTCTTCACACTCTTTCTTCTCTCTCTCTCTGCATCAGGGCTCGACAGGTGTATCATTTGTCCAGTAATATCAGCCGATATTGAGGATTCACTGATATTTACCATCTTTTTTGTATATTCTAACAGATACAGGTGAAAATAGTTAACTTTTAGAGCTTAACTGACATTTACCACCTGCTCACTTTTAATACAGCAGTACAGCCTGGGGTGGGCGATATGGCAAAAACAATACATCACAATACTTCATGGCACAGTATATTCATTTTTTTGGACGTTTGAGAAGTTCAAACAGACAAAAAAGGAACCGCATAAAAAAAGAACTGTGAGTACAACAAACATCTTTCAATGTTCTACATACTGGGCTGCACTTAACCCATGAAACAGGCTTAATTATGTGCTCTTTGGCACGAAACATGCAGTTTGCTAGTATTCTTTAAGCACAGTGTTTGCATTTTGTCAATACAGTTTTGTGCAAAAGTTTGCACACCCCAGGCCAAATGATATGTTCTGTTGATTTTCTACGTAAGAAGTGCAAGTTTACAATGTCTACACAATTTCTATTCATTTGCTGACTTTAACTATTGGAAATAAAGAAAACATGAAATATCAAGGGTGCCATAACTTTTGCACAGGCCACATTTTATGTTTAAATGTCATAAAATGATTCCACAAACAAACAATCACTATGCAATAAAATGTGCAGACATGTGTTAGAGGATGTGTTTTTAAAAAAATCAACAAAGTATGTCATTGGATGGGGGTGCCTAAACTTTTGAATATGACTGTGTCCGTGTTCGTATTGGTCAGTCCTGAGTCTAAATCTCCCCCTCTGCCGCTATGCATGTACTGCAAAGTAATTTGGAACTATAAGACAAGCATTCTCTCTCTCTGTCTCTCTGTCTCTCTCTCTCTCCCCTCCCAGTGCTGTCTAGTGGTGTGTAATCTAACAGGCACTTTGTTGTTATTTTAACCCTTCCACCCCCCACCCCCTCTCTCTGTCAGTACTCGTGCATTAACAGCCTCTCCTTCCCTGTGTGTGTGTGTGTGTGTGTGTATGTGTGTGTGTATGTGTGTGTGTATGTTAACCCCTGCTCCTGCTCGCTGTGTCTCTGGTGTCTCTCTGGGTTCTGGTGTCAGGATGAGTCTGCTCTGATTGTTCACTGGAGCTTGAACACATGAGTTCATATCAGCACACTGCGGCCTTGAGGAGGCACCACTGCAGCCCTACTGCGCTCTCTCCCCCTGACTCCCTCCCTCTTTCGCACACACACAGATCTAAGCAATTTGACCAGAAGTATATGGACACCCCTCCTAATTAAATTGAGGTACATCTGTTGGTAACAGATGTATAAAATTAAGCACATAACCATGTAATCGCCATAGACAAACATTGGCAGGAGATTGGGTCATACTGAAGAGCTCAGGTGCCAGACTGCTAGGTCTGCCCTAGTCAACCGTAAGTGCTAGTATTGTGAAATGTGCAAACTCTGCAAACTCACAGAGCTAGGGCGCATAGTGCATGGAAATCACCTAGGCTGCGAGCCTAAGATCACTTTGAACCATGCCAAGCATCAGCTGGAGAGGTGTGAAGCAACCACCTCTGGACTCTTTAGCAATGGAAATGTTCTCTGGAGGGATAAATCATGCTTCACTATCTGGCAGCCTGATAGATGAATCTGGGTTTGGTGGAGGAGGGATAATGAGTTGGGGCTGTTTTTCAGGGTTTGGGCCCTTTAGTTCCAATGAAGTGTAATGTTAATGCTACAGCATACAAGACATTTTAGGCATTTTAGGCATTTTCTTGTTCCAGCATGACTTTGTTCCTATGCACAAAGCGAGGCCTATAAAGACATTTTGACAAGTTTGGTGTGGAGGAATTCCAGTGGCCTGCACAGAGCACTGACCTCAACCCCACTGAACATCTGGAAGTTCAAGATACTTTACTGACTGTGAACATGAGCCGTATATTTTTTGTGTCACAAACTTCAAACAAAGCATGTAAAGTCTTTTACAAGCTTCAAATGTCCGTGTTTAATCTAGAACGTCAAAAAAAGTCCATGTCAATCACCGTTAGCTAAGCGCTAATATACTATTTGAACCTCACAGAAAATAGCATTATTTTAAAGGCACTTTCTACTCTGGGGGAAAAGGAGACAAAGTTGTAAACATGTTTTGACAAAGGCATGACATTTGAATGCATAGCTCTAATAGTCACGGTTTGCCACTGCTAAATGTATGTGTTATGACAAAAACTGAGCTAAAACTAAATCTCATTAGGTTCAATAGGATTTTTTGGCAGCAGCAGCTATGAAAGAATGCATTTATAGGCAGAGCGTGAAAAGTCAATTACAGTAGTCTAGGGCAAAGGTAAAGAGAACCGTGCAGGTGTTCTGATTTTTCTTCTTTCTGGCCGTTCCAGCAGCTGATGCAGATGACGAGCCACAGCCCACAGAGCCAGACTACACTCTGAGACCTAACATCAAAATTGATGACCTCGGTAAGTTATTACACAAACGTGCATGAGGGTTATTACTCATACTCACGCACAGTTTCCAGTAAAGGGGTGAACTGGGCGTTTAATCTGTCATAATTAACACCTGTAGTAAAGTCACTGTGGTGAATATTATTCATCTTGCCATTTGCACCCTCGCATGCTATCACTCTTAAATTTCAGAAATTTATATGAAACATTTTGCATTTTAACCAAAATAACACTCACATTAGAGCTCGAAATATGACGGGACCTCCTTACACTTCCCAAATATGTATTGGGCTCGAGTTGGGTTGGCGTTCAGGTTCACACAGCTAACAACCCCTTTAACGGATTTTACCCCTGCTTGAACTTCTCTCCTTACTTTGTTCTTCCTGCCTACTTTCATTACCTTAAAACAGTTCATGCTTGCATTGTTGACAGAATTTACCCCTGAGGCCCACAAAGCCTAGTAATTATGGCAAGTAAGTGCAAGTTTGGACGCCCTTCAATTTGGTAAAGAAATCCACTGATCAACCCAGCCCAACCCAAAGAAGTGGCAGTTAAGGATACATGTGGATGTCAAGCCAAGATCTGAAAGAAGCCAAGAAAACTCTCAGACGGATGTGCTCATGTGCTGGCCAGAAAGGCAAAGCAAAACCCCCATATGACAGCAAAAGACGTGCATGAAGGTTTAGAGGACATCAGACTAGTGGTGCACCATTCTACCATTAAGCGTTGTTTACACAAAAATTATCTGCATGGTAGAGTCAGCAGAATGAAACTTTTCCTCTGACCGCTTCACAAAAATCAGTGTCTGAAGTATGGAAAACAACATGTAGATAAACCATAGGCATTTTGGAAATACGTGCTGTGGACTAATGAAGTAAAAATAGAACTTTGGCCACAAAAAATGAGCAGCATTTGATGAAAGCAACACCTTGCCAACTTTTAAGCAGAGAGGTGGATCTATTATGCTTTGGGGTTGTGTGGCACTAAATATCAACAAATTCTAGAAGCAAATGTGACACTGTCAAGAAACTTAAGCTGAAAATTGGCTGGGTTCTACACAAGACAATGATCCAAAACACACCTTAAAATCTACCCTTAACTATTTAAAGAAATGCAAGCTGAAGCTTGTGGAACAGTCTCCCAACTGAAACATTACTGACAATCTGTGCAGACCCTAAACATTTCTGCGCATGCAAGGCGCCCCAAGTACAACACTAAACTAGAGTGGGATGAAAAAAAAAGACAAATGTGCAGAAAATGTTATTTTTCAAAATAGTTTGCGGCAGAAGTTGTGTTTGTAATTTGAAGTAATTTCGGCCAAACCTTTGCATACAACTGTGTGGAAAGTAGTAGAGTTTTAACAGCTGAAAGCTAATATCTTGGTATATCAGCTCTGCACACCATGAGAGCAGTGCTTTATAGAAAGTTTTTACACACTAAAAATGTTTTGGATGTTGTTCAACAGCATTGCTTGATGAATAAATTCATTAAAGCACAATTTATACTTCATTTTGGGCTTTTTTTTATTTGTTTTTTTTTTTACTCATTGATCTAATAATGGCTATTGTTGCTATGTGTATATTTAACCAGTGGCTTCATTAGAAATATCAGGTTTTATCTGCCATTTTTGGCAACAATGGGCAAGTTCGGGTCAGTTTTTGGACATAATTTTGTTGAGCTTTGGTCAGTTTTGGACTCGAAACTTGAGGGACGTGTCTGGCCAGGTCCGGACCACACTTAGTCAGGTCTGGGTTGGGATCATACTCAAAACTTCATGCTGTGGTTTGGGATGGATCAGAAAGTTGTTGGGTTGGCCAAAATTTTAAGCCAGATCAAAGCTCTAACTCACATGCACTCTCACATCAGACTTTGAGGGCACTAAAATCGCAAAGTGACCCCTTGTTACTAATAAAACAAGCAGGTGACCCCTTGTTACTAAGAATAAACATGCATCATTTGTGTATGCCCACAAACGCCACTGCCAGCTTGACATAAACAGATTCAAAATGTCACTATATTTCACGTGCCATATTAGCAATAGCGCCACCCACTACTGATGACTGTTAGCAGCTTTATCATGTAGCGACAACAGCAGGGTAAATAGTCGTGAAGGGCAACAACACAGCCTAAACAAGGTGTGAACTGTGATGCTATAGTTAGCATAGCGCTGATGAGTGTCACGATGCCAGCATTAGCTCTGATTAGCTCTGACAGTGCTAGCCCTCTTGTGCCCCTTTATCCTTTAGCCTGACAGGAAGTCATGTTCTGCTCCGTCACAATGAGTCACCTCAAGGACAAGAAAGTCTGGGCCACTAGCACAAGAGAAAAGACTGTTTTGACTGTGACTGTTGTTAGTAGGCTAATTTTGTACTGGTCATTTGGTGGAACTTTTAGGGAAGAACAGAGAAGTGTTGGTTGCAGGTCTCTATCTTGCATTTGATTCCTGAATGGACAGCAGATCACTGAGTACACTTGGTGGCCACTTTATTACAAATCCTTACCGTGAAGCTCCACTTTGCTGTGTACAGTTAGAAACTGTATCTGTTGTTGCACAGTTTGTGTTAGCCATCCTATGGTCCTTCATCAATGGTCAGTTTCTGACCACAGATCCATGCTTGTCTGGATATTTTTGGTGGGCGGTTCACTCTCAATCTAGCAGTTATGTGTGTAAAAAAATCCAGCAACCTTATACACTCATACCAGTAACACTCACACTACACATGTACCTGTACCATGACATTGTTACTGCTTGTTTGAGACTGACCTACCACCCCAATAATACCTGTTCATTGGTGGTCCTATGGTGGTCCCTTTCCATCCATGAAAGGGGTTGAAAGTGGCTGATAAACTGCAGCAATAGATTAGCAACAGTCAGCAGAGATGTTCACAAGTTGCTTCCCTGCTAGAAAAACCAAAATAGATGAGCATAGCTGGTCACCAGCAAAACTAATGCTGGTATACTGGTCAGCAGCAACGGTAGCTGTTATGCTGATCGCCCACAAAACCAGCATATGTTGTGTTTTAGATGAAAGTGCTGGGTGACCAGCTAAATCAGCAACAGACCAGCATAGACCAGCTTAAACCACCATAGACCAGCATGAAATGCATGCTGGTCTGTGCCGGTTTTTCCAGGAGGGTTGACGTGAGTCATGATTAGCTGCAGGCATTTTTGAATGTACAAAAGTAAACTTAAAAAACCTGTCAGACTTCATGAAAACTTGTCTTTCATTATAGAAAAACCTTCTGTTTCAAGTAAATGCGGTGTTTAAAGAGAAGAGGCAAAACAGCTTGAAATGGCTGGTAAGTCTGTAGTCTAGCTAGCTGGCTAGCATAGTAGCATATCCAGCTGAAATTGTATTATGTTATACAGGAACGGGATCTTTTTCTTACTAAAACCTCAGCCAGATGAGCTAACAACTTTAGCTACATTAGCTAGTGTGCTAGCTAGCATATTTGCTATCCAAACTACATACTAGCCAATAGACTCTTTTCACAAGAAATGGAAGTGTGTAAACGTTGGGTAAGACAGTTATTTACCTCAGAAATACAGGCGTTCCTATCACTTTAGCTCACCACAGAAAGGTGTGTCGCTCTTATTTTGTCATACTTGCCAAGCTTGGAATTCGAAGATGTGTCCAGAATTGTTGGAGACAATGTGGGAGTCCAAACTAAATAAAGGACATAAATGCTTTGTAGAAAAATTCCTTCACAGCTATCAGAGTACAGTAATGACAGCTAACATCTTTAAATGAATAAATTAATGGATGTGTGAAAATAACTATAACCAAAACACAGGATTAGCCATGTTAGCTGGAGATGCAAAAGCAGTTCGCTAACAATAAACTAGTTAGCAAAAAGCTAAACATGCATACATTCCGGCAGGGGGGCGTGCGGGGTCGCCATGGTCCGTAGCGCCACTGTAGACATTTTACACAAACACCAGCTCCATGCCGAACACTCGGTCTGTCAGATACTGACAGTTTTTGAGGGAGAAAATGAAAACGGTTCCTCTGAAAGCGGCTGTAGCAGCAACTTTAAAGCACAAACTGCGTGTCAGCATTGGTTAGCAGCAGTGAAATGTTGACACAGAGGTTCTGTTCCTCCACGTGACGAAGTTTATTCCTTTTTTCACTGCACAAACTCATTTTTCCTCTGCTTATCGTCAGCTGACAAACCACTAAAACTGAGATAAGGTTGTTTTGATTCAAGCTTGAACACTTGAGTAAGCTGTTCACGCTCAACTCGTCATTGTTGCTAGCGTTACTTCCAGCTGAAAAAATGTTGCTAGCGTTACTTCCAGCTGAAAAAATGTGCTAATGCATGTAGCGCTTCAGTTTGAAGGTATTGCTGTAACAAAACACTTGCTACTGAAAGATGTATTGAAACTAATGCCACTGTGAGGCTGTGGGAGAATATGAAATTAAAGGTTTTATTATTTTTGCCAGTAAGGTTGGCTTTATTAAATCAGTTTTGTTTTGTTTTTTTTTTCAGACTGAAATTTGGCAAGTTTGTTGAGTCGTGAGTGAGTCAACATGAGACTTGAGTGTGACCTGAGTCTGAGTCATTGTAAACCTACAAAATGCACCGGTGTGGTAGGTTTTTCTGATGAAATGGCCAGTGAGTACAGGAAAAATGTAGATGAATAATGGGAATTGGCTGAATGGTTATCATTAGAGACGACTAGTTTCCTGTAAAACACCTTTAGATCCCTTTAGGAAACCTAACCATATCTGGAATCAGTCCCAGAGCACCTGTTAAACCATTAGAATCCTCTACACCATGATATTAACCCATCAGGAAAACACAAAACATCATTAGTGACTATTGGACACCACCAGGAACTTGTAATAGTTTCTATGATTATTTTCAGACAGATTTACCAGCTGGACATTGATCAGTTTACATGAAGCTTAGCTCTGAAAACATCCCGATTGAGCCTTTAATGAAAATAAGAGATAAAGAGCTGCCGGTTTTGACTGTGTGTCATGTTGCAAACTGATGTAGTTGGGTCGTCT